GATCCCAACGTAACTTCCCCGCTGTTTCCGACTGAATTTGCGTGGTCGGAAGTTGGGGGCGGTGTCTGGTATCTTACACTTACATTCGCCAGCACGTCGGCTTCTGGCACTGTCGTTTTCCCTTATGGGGCTTGCAATTATGCAAGGCGTGGGCGTTGGCCGATGAACGTTGGTAACGATCCGCAGTTCAAGGGTTACGGCAACGTGTGGCCGCTCAAGCCGTTCAAAAGCAAGGCGTTCTGATCCGTCTGCGTGACGCCACTCACCGTCTAGTCCACCCCGCCTCTGGCGGGTTTTTTTATGGGTGAACCATGACAAATGCAGAGCGCTACGACGCAATGACAAGCGAGCAGGTTCCGCCTTCTGTGATGGTGATGTGGCTGCTCGACCCTGAATTCGCCGCTTACGTCGCCGTGAGGCGCGAACCGGCGCGCTCTGGGGCCTCGCAATCCTGACCATCTGACCGCTTCGGCGGGATTTTTTTGTGGGCGATCCAATGGCCGCATCAACGTACAAAGAGGCGCTTGCCGCCGTGCTGAGGCACGAAGGCGGATACAGTAATCATCCCCAGGACCCCGGCGGGGCGACCATGAAGGGCGTGACGCAGCGGGTCTATGACGCCGAACGCAAACGACGCGGTTTGCCCACGCGCAGCGTCCGTCAGATCACTGACGCCGAATTGCAGGCAATCTATCGCCAGCAGTATTGGGACAAAATCAAAGGCGACGACCTGCCGCCTGGTGTTGATTATGTGGTCTTTGACGGCGCGGTGAATAGCGGCGTCGCTCAGTCGGCAAAATGGCTACAGCGCGCGCTTGGCGTCCGCGTGGATGGCATCATCGGCAATGCGACCATCGCCGCGTGCTGGGACGTGAAAGACCATGACGCGCTGATTGCCGACATTTGCGCCCGTCGCATGGCGTTTCTCAAGGCGCTCAAGACATGGCCGACGTTCGGCAGGGGCTGGACCAGCCGCGTTAACGGCGTGCTCCAGACAGGGCAACAGTGGGCGCGCGGCAAGGTCGGGCCGACCGTCACCGTCGTTGAGCCTGGCATGTCGGCCAAAGCCAACATCGAGGATGCCGCGCCGATCCCGTCGAGCGGCATGGCTGACGCTGCAATCGGCGGTGGCTCTGTGCTTGGCGTGGTCGGCGGGGCGCTGGAGGGCGCGCGTGATGCGCTGACGCCTCTCGCCGGCGGTTCCGCTACAGTCAATGGCATCGTCGCCGTGCTCGTTGTCGCTGGCGTGGCGCTGGCTGTCGGCGGCGCTATCTGGCGCGCTAATCAGCAACGCAAGGCGGCGCAGGTGGCAGACGCGCTAGGCTATGCGGTGGCGGCATGATTGCCTTCATTCTCACTCACTGGCGCACTGTGGCCGCGCTTGGCGCTGTCGCGATGCTGGCGCTGCTCGCGTGGCGCATCAATGACCTGGCCTATGAGCGCGGCAAGGCCGACGTTCTGGTCGAACGCATCCAAATCGAACGGAGGCTGACTGATGAAGCGAACCGCGCTGATGCTGACGCTAGGCGTTGCGCTGCCGACCCTGCTTGCAGGCTGCAATCAGACGGCCACCGTCGGGACTGAAACGACCTGCGCACAATGGCGTCCGATCAGTTGGAGCCAGAGAGACACGCCAGAGACGATTGACGGCGTGAAATCCAACAATGCCCGCCGTGCGGCGTGGTGCACGTGATGGGGGGCGCGATGGGAACGCCCGCATGGTTCAAGTTTGAGATAAACCTGAACTTCCTTCTCACAGCCGCTGTCGTCGCCGCAGGCATGGCCTTCAGTTGGTCGCGTATGGAAAGCCATACCGTCACACAGGCCAGACAGATCGAGGAACTGAAAGCGGCAGATGCCCAGATCAAGGCTGAAATCCGCGAGGTGCGGGAGAAAGCCGACGCCAAGCTGGAGATCATGACGCGCGACAGTGGGGGAGGTGAAGGCGTCACTCCGTGCGATCAGCACAAATATCGAGTGGATCGTGAAGCAGAGCAGGGAGAAGGACGGACGCT